AAAGCTAGGAGGGAAGTGCCGGTAAATGCTGGAAAATTGCAGATTATTGATAATTACGGGACACGGTGTTACTACTAGCAAGGCTGCCCTTACGTCTCATCATATCGTCATATCACAACTACCTTTCCAGAGTTAATTCTATTTTTTAATAAAACTACTCAGGCCATGTAGGAACGCAGATGTGTTTGTATGGGAGTAATCTGGAAAATAAAGACCTCGTTTCAGGTGATCTCCAGTTACTCAGAGCTACCAGAGCTTCATGATGATAAACATAAATTCAGGTAAAGCTCTGAGGAAATACAGATTTGAACAAACTATCCAAAGTGCCCAAAACTGATATAGACCTTCGTAAAGTTTTAACCCTGTTGCCTTGATTGTGGATTTTTTCAAAATAATTTATTCTTTGCTCTTTGTTTCTAATGCAGGTACTTGTTCTACTCTGTATTACAGTATTTACTACTGTTAAAATAAAAAAAATTTGAACAATTTGAAAAAAAAAATTTCAGTTTAGTTCATCTTTTACAGCCATGCAGCATTTTCATTATCCACAACAAGAAGCTACTATTTTATGTGTTTATCTTAATGGACTACATGTTTTTAAAAAAGTAGCTTTACACACAACCTTATCAGAGCTACTAATATTAGAAGATTTTAGCACGCTTGAATCATCGAAAACATAACTTTCCAACAACAAAAATGTGGCTAATGAAAATGCTGCGTGGCTAGTAACTTTGGAAAACAATAGCCACATTGGCTTATGAGCAAAAATGTTAATGTCAAATCCTGCTGCCAAAAAATGCCTATTGTTAGAAGAGAACACACCATTTTTCCTTAAGCCTAGCCATGATTTTTAGCCCGATTGTCGGAGAGCTCAGCGACAGTCAGGCTGTGATCAGGGGTATATCAGTGGTCGATCGGCAGTCGTTATGTGTGAACTGCTCTACAGTGCATCAAAATTATTTTTCTTTTTATTATTTTGGGGGGGGGGGCTTGGACTATTTAAGCCCCTCTTGGCCTTGTTTCCATGTCGGATATACATGTTTTTGTCTTTCTGGACAGTAGATGAGTGTAACATGGGTCCCACTGTTTTCTGCAGCTCTGAGCTGATTGCACTGTCGGACATCTTTGGATTGCAAAGGGAAGTAAGTATGAATGTCTTTCATCTGCTGGCTGACCACTGTGTCTACGGCTCCCATTGTTCCCCATGTCTGTTTCTTCAAAAGAGCTTGGACAGCACATCTTGAAACTCCTGTCTGCCTTCACCCAGTTGTATTCCTCCTACATCGCTGTGGGTGGTAACACCAACTATTGATTTGTTTTAGATTTTTCTTCTGTTCACTCACTTTGTATTATGTTAATTGATAAACATCTAATATTTTAATTATAACTAACTTGTTTCTACAGCAGTACAAGTTTACAAAAGCAAAGTTACTCTATCAACTCAATGATATCTTACTGGAAACAAATCTTAAATGTCAATAAAATTAAAGTAAATGCTCCGTACTTGTATAGCGCCTTTCTGACCACTCAAAGCGCTTTTACACTACATCTGCATTCACCAGTTAGATACATTCATACACTGAGCCTAAGTGCTCAAACGGAAACTAACATTCACACTCATTCATACACTGGCGGAACAGCCAAATCGGGGTTCAGTATCTTGCCCAAGGACACTTCGACACGCAACCAGGGGGAGCCAGGGATCGAACCGCCGACCTTCCGATTAATGGCCAACCCGCTCTACCTCCTGAGCCACAGCCGCCCCAGGTGGGAGGTAGGGCGTATCACAGTCTGAGAAGGTAGTTATTGCAGGTCAGGCGTCATGCTTCAGTCAAGCAGAGTTAACATACATAACCATTAACATAGTTATGGCTTAAAACCCACTTAATGTTTCATGTTTCCATCTCATTGGCTATGAATAAAGTGCTTTATTTTTAGGAGGAGGAAATAACTTTTCTATTGAAAAGATTGAAGTTACTCAGCACAGTCCTCACAGTAGCTGCAGATACTTGGTTTCTAAGCTGGACAATATGCCATTTTGCGTTATTTTGGACCATTATTATTACAATATCTGTACAAAAAGTAGGAAAGCTAGAGCAGATAATCGAACAACATCCCAAAAGCTTAAAGACTCAACATGCCCAAGTCCACTGGGGAGGAACTACAAGTCATCTAGTTGGTTTTGATGCTCTCATAATGATTTTACTTTCATGGCGCAGCACTCAAGCCGTAATCATATGGGATTACTATACATTATACATGGGATTGGTCATGCTTGCCTTTTCTCTTGTACTTAGAAATTAATGTAAAATAAGTGACCTTAAGACCTTAAAAGCTGACTAGTTTGTAGGGCTGTCCACGACTAAGGATTTACATAGTTGAATCATAATTGTCATGTCCTGCCTGTAGTCGAATGATAGTTGAATCATGTACTGTATATGTGTGCGGCAATTATGAGTGGGGGGGGGCACGGTAGCTCCGCTTTAATCTTGACAAGCTGCAGAGCCACGGTTACTTACACTGTACATTTCCTGCCATTCCAGTCTTTTTCTGAGATTTGCGTGCATGCCGTGCGGCCGACAGCTGCATGCACGTCGCAGTTCTTCACAGGTCTATTTCAAGAACTCCACACAATATTTCTTTTCAGGCTCCAGAATGTGTATAGCCGCTAGCCACATTAGCTGCGGAGTGTGCAAGCAGCAACTTCAACTGGTTAACATGCAAATGTTAAAGTAACAAATTTTCAAATTTAAATCCTTGTTTGTTATGTTTCTTGTCCTCTTTGTAAAATGGTTAGCGCACCCGCACACAGTTGGAGGCAAATGATAAAAAAAGATCTGTGCTGATTCTGTGAATTTTCACTTGATTGCTCTTCCTCAAGGACCTACTGTATAAATGATCTAGATGTGTCTGCAAACTTCTTCTGTGAGGATCAAATACAGTTTCAGACCAAGTTTAGTGCGATTGCGTTCCAAACAAATACATTTACTTTCAAATTATGCTACTATACATATTATACAGTTTTTCAATTAAGTTATTCAAGTCAAAAAATACAAATTCCAATTATACAATTCATTAATTTTTTATGCAATTATTCAAGTTGAGCAATTCAAATCTAAATTATTCAAATTCAGTTCTAGTGACACATATTTCTACCTATAGTCTCCTCTGCATGCACACAAGAGTACGATGGTACACATTCCTGACAACGGTTTCACACTATTCCACTGCAACCCACCAAGATATGCTGCAGTACACTACCAAAGGCAGGGAAGAAGAATGCTGCAAGCTAGTGAACATGAATGTAAACAGTAGGCTTGTGCCTCAGTTTCTCTCCACAAGCTGCAGAGGCAAAATGCCTGATGGGAAATAACTTGCCTATAGATCAAGCAGAGCACTCATTGGGAGTTTTTACTCCGTGATGAAACGCTCCAATTGGTTCAGCAAAAGTTTTATCTCACACCCACATTAAATGACAGTTCCATTATTGTTTTTCATCACTATTCCCCAATGTTTATCTACATTAATTAAGCAGTAACAAATGCATTTAATGAGTACATTTCTGACATTAACAATTTACTGCCTCTGTGCATTCTCCATAAATGCCAACTGGTGAAAATCACTGACCGAAATGGTTTAGAAAAGTGCTTAAGCCTTTTACATGTAGTATTCAACTCCCCTGTATTGATTTGTTTTAAAATGAACAGACACTTAAGTCCCTTGGGATTTCTATCACATCCACTTCATCAGCTACAAAGAACGCTAATACTATTTCCGCTATTACAAGTCGAGTCAAGCCATCTTCAAGCTGTTGGATTTCAGGTATGTTACTTTCGAGGCAAGCTGCAGCTCTTCTCAAACAAGACTAATGCTAGATTGAAAATACTTGTGTATTCAACACATTTATTAAAGCTTAAGGATACAGTGCATTTTGGTGAGTAATGCTGAATGTGAACATAAAACTCCACCTTTTAAAAAACATACAGCACTACAGTATCAACAACCCAAAAGCTACTAGCACTATTACCATGTCCCACACATGCTCAGTAGGGTTTAGGTCTGGAGACATGCTTGGCCAGTCCATCACCTTTACCCGCAGCTTCTTTAGCAATGCAGGGTCATTATCATGTTGGAATACAGCCCTACAACCTAGTCGAAGGGAGGGGATCATGCTCTGCTTCAGTATGTCACAGTACATGTTGACATTCATGGTTCCCTCAATGAACTGTAGCTCCCAATGCCGGCAGCACTCATGCTGCCCCAGACCACGACACTCCCACCACCATCCATGACTGTAGGCAAGACACACTTGTCTTTGTGCTCCTCACCTGGTTGCTGCCACACATGCTTGACCCCATCTGAACCAAATACGTTTATCTTGGTCTCATCAGACCACAGGACATGGTTCCAGTAATCCATGTATTTAGTCTGTTTGTCTTTCTTGTGCATCATCTTTAGAAGAGGCTTCCTTCTGGGATGACAGCCATGCGACCAATTTGATGCAGTGTATGGTCTGAGCACTGACACGCTTGACCCCCCCACCCCTCCAACCTCTACAGCAATTCTGGTAGCAGTCATACGGGCCCTAAACTTTTTTGGTCTACCATAGTGAGGCCTGTTCGGATTGTTGGCCACCTTGCTGCAACTCAGTTTCAGGATCTTGGCAATCTTTTTATGGCCTAGGCCATCTTTATGTAGATAGTAGTAAGTGAGTAAAATGCTTGCCTTGGTGCACCAATGCAAAGCTTTAAACATGTCTGTAAAAATTCTCAGTCATCTAGGTCATAGTTAACCAAGGTGGGTTGAGGTTGCTTAAAGAAGCTTCTGGAATGAGATAACCCACCTTGAAAAGCTTTGAAAAGTTTTCCCGTCTCATCAGATACTGGTCAAGATATATTGACGTGAAGGTTTAGTAGATTGGGTATTATACTGTTATACCAGAGCTCATTCACCTGGGTTCCTCATATCAGTGGTCATAACATCTGCTCTCTGTTTTTTAGATCGCTTGAAGTATGAATCAAAGAAATCAAAGTCCAATCATTCATCTAGCACGGAGAATTCAACAGGTAGATATCACTCATCAAGCTTCCCCTGCCAAGCTATTTACAACTCAGCACATTGAAATCTATTGAATACTGGTCTGTGTGTGTCTAGGAATTTTCTGTGATATTTGTTGGTTGCATCAAAGATTTATACTTATATTTATCATACTATAAATACTTGTTCTTTTACAGTTGATGTATTTGTGTGCAAGTGTACAGGGTGGCAATGTTGCTATGTCTGTGTGCAGGAGAACAGTACTCTGCAGCTTCAGTGGAGGCCGTCTCAGATGACGCACTGTTCAGAGCCAAACTCAAACACATGGGCAAATGTAAGTCTCCTGATTTACAAGACTACTGTGAATGGTCAGGTCATTGTCTGGTGTAGTTAATGATAAAGGATTTTTTCTACCCTTCAGCAACGAGAAAGAAGCTGTTTGAAATTGCGAGAACGTTCTCAGAAAAGACAAAGAGGAGGAAGTCAAAAAGAAGGATGCTGCTGAAGCACCATTCGTATCCTTTAATTAATCTTTGTCCCGTTTTCTGGCTAACATTTCTTTTTTGTTGTAAGGTAGTAGGGATGAACCGAATGGTTGGCAACCAAAATTAATCAGTCAAAAATAGCACTTTGGGTGTTTGGCCTCATAAGTCAAAAGACCGAATAAATTTTACTGAACAATTAAGTTTTGACATGTCGGCAGTGTGGAAGCATTGTAATGTCAGAGAAAGACCATAATCGCCATTTGCAGACACTGTTCTGCTGAATTGTCTCGTAGCACATCCGACTTCTCAGAAAAGAACCGCTTTGACTGTTTCTGTCACTCGTTTGTGAGAAGGCAATTAAGCTGGATGCACCTAAATTTGAAGTGCACATGTATTCAAGCCTTTATGGTAAATCCACTCAAACGGACCAGTGCAAGCTGACAGGCAGGTTAGCGACTTTATCCTTTAACCATTTTCTTTCTTTATAAAGACAGGTGTTGCAGTATAAGAGTCCTACCTGAAGAGAGGCTGGGAAGTCTTTAGGTTACGTGATACGAGAACCACATACAACATTATTTATCAAATTGGGTCGGACTTAGTTTACTGACTTGAATTTAGTGCAAGTGTCTGGTTATCAAAATAAGGTGTCTGTACACTATGGAAATAAGATTAATTGGATTATATTCACAGAAAGAATAAAACATATTACATGTGTACAAGTAAGTGTCGGCCAAGAATTTTCATATCAGGACATCCCTATGAGGTAGTAAAGTAGCTAAATCTTATTCACTGACTATGATCATATACCATTTAAAAAGTTTTTAATTCAGCTGATAATAGCATTTTGCTTCGTTAACTTAGCTCCTTTTCAGATTGGGCTCAGCCAACTCTACAGCCAATCTCCTCGACGATGTGGAGGGAAACCCCTGTGGTAAGAAATGCATGTCACCCACACACAACATTTGATTTTATCTCTGTTACAGAGCAGTGGTTCTTAACTGGTTTAGCTTCAGGGTCCAAATGTCCCCATAAATTTCAGGTCAAAGCCCACACAGAGCAACCTCACACCCCTTCAGTATATTTTCATCATTTCCGTTCTGCCTGTCAGTGGATTCAAACCTAAGAACTTCTAAAATGATTGTGAGGAGACAGCTAACCACTGAGCTTCACACACTAAGAAGCATTGCAGCAAGAGAGCGCAATTAGGACATAAAGCCAACATTTAGAAACATTAAAGGTGACATATATTATAAAAATCTCACGGTATTTGTGCACTTAACTGTGTGGATCTGTTGTGCAGACAACCCACAAAATGCGAAATTAAACACCAGGCTGTTTTTGTGGGCTCCCTATATCAGAAAAGTTGTGATTCTTAGTCATTTAGATTTGCCTTTCCCCCCTACATAGAGTGCTAGCTCATTTAATTGTGTAAGTACCTCTATCTATGGTTTTAGATTTACCTTGCAAAGGTGCACCATTTTGGAAATGTAAGTATTTCAAAAATAATTGTGCTATTTGTTTATTTTGCGGTTTAGCGCAATGCACGCTCAGCAAAAACAGCCAGCATATTAGATGTAATTTTTTACATTACTCACATTATGTGCTGCAGGATCCACAATAACTTAAGAATGGGACATGATTATTTTGTTAATTGAGTTCTTGCCTTACCCACAGTTTGCTAGCTGTGGTGGCCAAGTTGGTGTAGTGGACTAACCGCTGCTAATGAGGGACAGTATTTCATGAGCATGAGGAAATTTGGAAAATGTTTTTTTCCAGGCCTGGAAAAATTTTGAAAATAATTAAATCATAAAAGTTTTGGAAAAGTCATGGAAAGTGGTTCAAGAACACTTATCAGGGATGTGATTTGTCCTAATTTTCTGACTCACGTGAATCATGCAGAACCATTTAAAAGTAACCTTAGTCGTGCTAGCTGCTTTGTCCTCTCTGCGTGTTTGACCGGGGGCGGAGCTCAGCTCACACCCAGCCGACAGCAAAGACGCTGCGGTGGAGGAAGTGAAGGGTAAAAGTAGAAAAGCGATGTTTCCACCTGCTTTGTCCGTAGTTGTTACAATTTGTTAAGCTACACCCCGCTCCCACAACATGTGTATTCACTCCCACCTGCACCCGCAAACATTGTGACATACAGAGAAAAAAAAAAAAAGGACACAAATGTTTGGGCTATGATAAACGTTCAGAATAACCAACATAAATCTTTGCATTAATTATTGTCAGTAACTGAGAAGTTTTCCAAACTTCAGACTTGCCTTGCTTTGGTCTTGTATCGTATAAGCCCGTGTGACGGAAATCAGTGAGGCTGTGCAGCGAATAAACTTCACTCCCTGACACCTTAAGAGACGCAGTGGCGACCAACGCTAGTGCCCATGGGGTTTAGCCTCGTCATCAGCGTGTCCGCCTCCCATGGCCAGCTGCAGACGGTTGTAACTCATTGACAGCCAATCAGATTGCAGCATTTTGCGGCCGCTGTCCAAGGTGCTGAACGATTATCTGGACGGTGGTTCGAATCCCAGTCAGGCTGTAATTCATGATAAAAGATAAACGGCTATTTTTTAATTATGTAAATCCCACTTTGGTAGGCACTTTTCCTTCTGATTAATATGAAATAGTAGCCTAGAGAGCAGAATACTAATGTTTTTAGTATTCAATTTTACTTTCCCTTTCAACAATGCTGAGCTGCTGCAATACGAGCTCAGTTTAAAAGGTGTACATCAGGTTTTTTTTAAAGCAATGCCCAAAATATAGTGTGTTATATTGGTTTAAAATGTAATATTACACGGCAAAAATCATATTTACAATCAAGGTTATTGTGTTAAATTCAAAGTTGAATTAAACGATAACGTATTGACCTGTAATTCATATTAAACAAAAAGCTAACAAGTGCTTTGAAGATGAAATCCAATGAAACAAGTTATACTTAAAATCAGTGTTTTATTAGATCTACTCAAACAAGTGCTTTCAGTGTAATAAAGAGAGTTCTGAAACAAGGATAAACAAGGGAAATTATAGTATCTGCAAAGCAATGGGACAGAGCTGGCCCTTAGTTGTTGAAAAGTGGTGGAAGAAGAAGAATACTAAGCAAATCAGTCAAATACATTTATAATGAGTAATAACTATCAGTTCAGATATGCACATTGACACAAAAAAAAGAACAAGTTATTTAGCTATATATTTATACACAAGGAAATTACAACATAAATTACATTAAATTTACACACAGTTTTAATTTAGTTGAAGTTTGTTCATATTTAAGGTTCATCAGCTCATTCACCTAGTTTGTCATGTCAGAGCACCTCAGTTCATGGCCCTCATGAAGCACAGACTTGTAAATGGCCTTGTTGTAAGTTAGGTATGCTGGCAGAATGTTTGTGAACTGCTTTGGCAATTTATCCAACCACAGAGGACTGTTATAACCAGATCCATGCAGCTAAGGCGTGAAGCAAAGATGTAGTATTGACCACTGGTGACAACAATCACTTAAGGTCTATAAACAGAGGCGGAGACTATATCTGGCTTTAGACAACCTGAAGACACTGGAGTCAGTCTGTGCAATATTGACATAAATACTATCTAGATAGTTTCTGGGATTCTGTATATGTTTTAGGATAATGAGAGAGAGAGAGAGAGAGAGAGAGAGAGAGAGAGATTTGACATCCTTCAAAAATGTGTAAGAGTCATGTGTCACAGTGTGTGGTGTCGGCAGTGAGCCCTCAATTTAGTTGTAAATGTACAGTATAAGTTTCAGTAGCTAGTGAATAAAGACAACAGCATCTCAAGACTAAAGCAAAGCTCCTGTGTGTTGCTTGCCAACTGTTGAAGAAAGAGTGAAAGGGGTTAGCATCGACTTTGGCCCTGGAGAACATCTCCTCTGTGCTACCCGACAACAGTCTGGGAACCAAACAGGAATGGTTAACAATAGTACAGTAACTGTTGGTTACTAATGATATTAATGGAAACAGGTCTTATTGTTAGGAGTGTGGTTTTGTGTTCATGTCTTTCTCTGTTTTAGTCTGTTTTTGGATTCTGCGTTTCTATAGGTTTATTTAATCTTGTCATGTTTAGGGTTTTCTAGCTAGTTCAGTCTGTTAGTTAAATTAGTGATCTGTCTGCTTATGTTGTGGTTCAGTTATTTATATTCTGTTTCTTCCTGGTTATTATGGAGCTAGGGCATCCCACGACCCCCCAAATCCCTGCTACCTGCGTGTGCTAATCCATCCTTTCACCCAGATTCTTTGTCTTTATAATAACAAACAGCAGCTGTTTCGTGTTCAGGATCGCTCATTTCCCATTTCACGTGCGATTTTTCACAGAAATCAGCCTTCAATCACACTAACCGTTGAGCCAAACAGAATGTCAACAAAAACAAAATAATTGTATATCGTTCATGAACTTACAGTGTCTCACAAAAGTGAGTACACTCCTAACAATTTTGTAAATATTTTATTATATCTTTTTATGTGACAAGACTGAAGAAATGACACTTTGCTACAACGTAAAGTAGTGAGTGTACAGCTTGTATAACTGTGTAAATTTGCTGTCCACTCAAAATAACACATCACACAGCCGTTAATGTTTAAACGGCTGGCAACAAAAGTGAGTACACACCTAAGTGAAAATGTCCAAATTGGGCATGGAGTTCACCAGAGCTTCACAGGTCGCCCCTGGAGTCCTCTTCCACTCTTCCATCACAGAGCTGGTGGATGTTGGGTGAGATGAGACTTTGCGCTCCTCCACCTTCCGTTTGACGATGCCCCACAGATGCTCAATAGGGTTTAGGTCTGGAGACATTCTTGGCCAGTCCATCACCTTTACCCTCAGTTTCTTTAGCAAGGCAGTGGTCATCTTGGAGGTGTGTTTGGGGTCGTTCTCATATTGGATTACTGTCCTGCGGCCCAGTCTGTAAAAGGAGGGGATCATGCTCTGCTTCAGTATTGGTCTTTGCCATCGTGCTGCAGCTCAGTTTCAGGGTCTTGGCAATCTTCTATCAATCTTCTATCTATAGCCTAGGACATCTTTATGTAGAGCAACAGTTCTTCTTTTCAGATCTTCAGAGAGTTATTTGCCATGAGGTGCCATGTTGACCTTCCAGTGACCAGCATGAGGGAGTGTGAGAGTGATAACACCAAATTTAACACACCTACTCCCCATTCACACCTGAGACCTTGTAACACTAACAAGTCACATGATACTGGGGAGGGAAAATGGCTAATTGGGCCCAAATTTACACTGTTATACAAGCTGTACACTCACTACTTTACATTATAGCAAAGTGGCATTTCTTCAATGTTGTCACATGAAAAGCATTTTTTTTTCTTGCAGTCCTTGCAATAAAATAATTTAAATAATAAAATCAGACTGTATGGTCTACTGTTAGGATGACCCAAAGTTCCATCCACCTCAGTAGTATTTAATGTGAATCACCCTTTGTCAATCCCTCTTAGAATATATGTTTATGTCCTTCCTGTTTCATACTGAGTACTTGCTGTTGTGAATATCTTGAGGAAATTTAAATAAACATGTCTTATTTATTGGAGATACACATAACTATGGTTGTATGTTTTTGTTTCTATATTCAGAGGAAGATAGCCAGCCTAGAAGAGCAAACACTCAGGAAGAGAATGAACAACGCAAAGAGCCGATATCATGGTAAGACACTCCTCAGTCGTTCTAAGTTGGGCTTCAAATAAGCCCTGCTATTGGTGTATATAAATTATCCTGCAATGTGATGCCAAAGTTTAAGACAGTATGCAAACACAATGCCCAGCACTATTCACAGGTAAATATGTGGTAAACTGCATGTAACTATCCTCAAACATATGTAAGCAATTAGGACTCTTCACCTAAACATGCAACTCCATATTTAAAGGTAAAGTGTGTAAGATTTAGTGGCATCAAGTGGTGAGGTTGCAAATTGCAATCAACGGTCTAGTCTACCCAAGTGCAGAAATCCCTTAAACCTGCATTCTATCGAACGGCCAGCAGGGGGTGACTCCTCTGGTTGCAGAAAGAATCAGAAGGAGCTTTATTGCCAAGCAGTGTTTTACACATACAAGGAATTTGCTTTGGTGTTAAGGTGCTACATGCAGACAGACATACAGCTGACATAAATGGATGTAGAAATATATGAATATGTAATAAACAAATGCAACTAATATAAGAATAACAGAAGAATAGAGAAAAATAATACAACTGACAATATAAAAATAACAATGGAACAACAACAATTTACAATTAACAACAAATATGTACAATGTCCCAGGTTCGTCTGTAGTCTTTTAGTCCTGTGGTCCTTGGTTTCTTGGGGACAGGGATGATGGAGGAGGCTTTGAAGCAGGCTGGCACATGGCATGACTCCAGTGAGGTGTTAAAAATGTCTGTGAACACCAGAGACAGCTGATCAGCACAGTGCTTCAGGGTGCATGGAGAGACAGAGTCCGGCCCCGCTGCTTTGTGAGGTTTCTGCCTCCTGAACAGTCTGTTGATGTTCCTCTCTAGGATGGTAAGAGAGGGGGAGGAGGTGGGGGATGAGATGGTGGACTGTGGCCGATCAGTGGTGTGACGGGGGATGGTGTCAGGTCTGTCCCGTTGTCTTTCAAAGCGACAGTAAAACTGGTTCAGCTCGTCGGCAAGGCGTGAGTCATTCATGGAGTGGGGGGATTTAGGTTTGTAGCTGGTGATCTGTCTGAATCCTCTCTAGACAGAAGCAGAATCATTCCTTGAGAACTGGTGTTGTAGTCTCTCTGCATACAGCTGTTTAGCATCTCGCACCGCCTTGCTAAACCTGTACTTTGACTCCTTAAACCTGGCCCGGTCTCCACTCCTTCCTTTTCCAACCTCAGCTGTCTGAGCTTAGCTGTGAACCAGGGTTTGTCATTGTTATAACTCACCCTGGTGCGTGTTGGAATGCAGCTGTCCTCACAGAAGCTGATGTAGGATGTCACAGCCTCTGTATATGCCTGAAGATCCTCAACAGCTTCACTGGTCCATTTCTTTGATGTCCTCACTACAGGTTTCAGAGTTTTAATTTCTGTCTGTAAGCAGGAATCAGGTGGACCATAGCGTGGTCAGAGTGTCCCAGTGGAGCACGTGTAACGGCGTGATAGGCACTGCTAACTGTGATCCAAAGTGTTCCCCTCTCAGGTTGGACACTTAATAAACTGTCTGTATTTGGGGAGTTCTTGGCTGAGGTTTCCTTTGTTAAAGTCACCAAGAACAATGATAAGGGAGTCCGGGTTTGTCTGCTCCACACACAGTATCTGGTCGGCCAGCATGCGCTGTGCTTCGTGCACGTTGGCGTGCGGCAGAATGTAAACACCGATCAGAATGAATGAAGCAAACTCACGGGGGGAGTAAAACAGTTTACACTTTATGATTAAATATTCCAGATTAACAGTGCTGCTGAATCACTGTCACATTGGTACAACAACCATTGGTAATATAAAAACAGATACCTCCACCTTTTGTTTTGCCGGAGAGCTCTGTGTCACGATCTGCTCTGTAGAGTTGGAAGCCAGCCAGCTCCAGTGCTGAGTCCAGTATTGATCCACACAGCCACGTCTCCGTGAAGCACAGAACAGAAGATGAATAAAAGTCTTTGTTTTTCCCCACCAGTAGCTGAAGTTCATCCAGTTTGTTGCACAGTGTGAAATATTGGAGAGAAATATTGCCGGTAACGGTGTGCGGATTCCTCGCCGGCGGAGTAGCACAAGCGACCCGGCTCATTTGCCTATCATACGGCGCTTCATTCGTTCAAACAACAACAAGAGAGCCCTTCACCAAAATGTCCAATAATTCCACTGATGACGCGAGAAAAGTGAGAAATAAATCCGCTGGAGTTGTTCCCCTGATGTTCATGAGCTCTTCTCTGGTGAAATATCTCCGGGAATGACAGCCGAAAACTGAGTTAACACACAAAAACAAAACAGAGCACGCCTAACTCCGAGGCAGCTATAGACCGCGCCATCTTGGATCTAGAAGAAGTCCGGCTTCATTAGAAATAATGGTAAAATGACCCTACTTCTCAGCTGATTTATTATCTCAGTAAACACTTTCCTAATGAGTTTATGGTCTCAGTCGCTAGTTTCATGTCTTCTTTAATACAGCATGATGTTCATTTAGTAAATTATGGTCCAATTTAAAGGAAAATAAACCAGAAAGCAGGGGATGCTTCAGGGTGGGACTATCTGTGACAAGTTGTTACAATGACGACCTGTCAGTGAGGCTAGAGTGACTCGTACCCACGGCACTGTGTAAATTTAACCAGTGCTGCTGAAAAAGCTTATTAGGTGTTGGTTGTTCATTTTCTCTGGTGAGTACATTTTGTTTTAAGCCTGTTTTTTGCTAGAAAAAATTATTACCCTGGTTAAAATGACAGTTAACGTCAATTACAAATGCACCTAGCTAAGCAAGCTAGCATGCTCTACACATGGCCGTTGGCTCCACAGTCTCTTCTAAATATGGTGCTGCTGGTTTTCTCTGTGTATATCATTTTCTGACCATACAACAAAATCAGCAAACTCCTTGTTGCATACAAGCATCAGTGTCTGGACCAAAAAATATGAGGCATGTAAATGTTTGATCTGTAATTTGCCATTAGATTCCTTCAAACAGAATCTGCCATTAGCACAGTCTTTGAGGCTTATGCTATCATGTGCACAAAATGGATATTTAACCTCTACTACATCATCACCACAGCAGTCGCAATGTACTATGTATTAATATTGTATTGGTTTTCCTTCTGACAATGTTGTGTCCAGCCAGTGTTTGATTATCGCTTTTGAGTGAAAGTCAATGTTTTCCACTTCAAGATACTTTTACTTTGGTTGCTCACTTGGAAATAACCAATGTGCAGGTCCTTCTGTCATAGTTTGGGACTCATGGAACAAAACAGCTGCCTTGATAGCAAAAAGAACCGCTCCAACGTGGCTGCATGTTTCGTCTAATCCTGCCATGCAGGGCTATTGTGCAGCTAAGATAATGCCATCCTTCTGAGTAATAACACATTGGTGCAAAGGTGGGGCACTGCTGACTGTGACCAGATACATGCTTAACATTAAGCCTCAAATTGTGTTGATGTCTGCTTCTATTCTTATCTTATGGCAATTTGCAGTTCAAACATTCACATGCTTAGGTTATTATTTTCACACAGTTTCAAAATGTTTTCAGATATTGTGGTATGGTCTCTGAAGCAGAAACAGAAAGAAATTAAAGCTGCATGAAGGAACAGAACGCCACGTCCTGTGTCCACTATGTGGCGCTAAGGAGCACCCGGTAACTATACGTTACGTCCCAGTACGTCAAGTGTGGAAAACATCATGACAATTCACACAGCGCTTACTTCCTGTTTCCAGAAGGTGGTGCTACCACTATGACAATTGGCATGTAAAGTTTGGTACAGATTTCAGCATGTACACTGAAAGTTACGAGGATTTCCTGTTTCATGGCAAGGATACGCCATTGAAGAAAAACTCACAACCTTTAGAACATAATATCATAAATGTGTTAAGGGTTTTCTGACGTAGTTTTGACGTAGATGCCACCAAACTGCAAGAACTGTTTCATCACAGCGTAGAAGTAGTCACTACTTGTTGCCAGTAGGTGGCGCTATGACTGAGTGAATTTTGCTTGGTCATGTGTTCTTATAAAACATGTAGCATTTGGCGCGGATGTGAGCATGTACACTGAAGTTACAACAACTTCCTGTTTCATGCCGAATCATTGATTTTGGATGTCACCCCACGCGGACGGCAATTCACGAAAACTTACCGTTTGTACAACTTTTAATCACCAATGGCTTTAGACTAGACAACGAAAATCTGAAGTCGGTCAGACTAAATCTCTAGGAGGAGTTCGACAACCAGACTGGACATGGATTACTGGAACCAAGTCCTGTGGTCAGACCAAGATAAACTTATTTGGTTCAGATGGTGTCAAGTATGTGTGGTGGCAACCAGGTGAGCAGTACAAAGACAAGTGTGTCTTGCCTACAGTCAAGGATGGTGGTGGGAGTGTCATGGTCTGGGGCTGGCGGCATTGGGAGCTACAGTTCATTGAGGGAACCATGAATGCCAACATGTACTGTGACATACTGAAGCAGAGCATGAGCCCCTTACTTTGGAGACTGGGCTGCAGGGCAGTATTCCAACATAAGGACCTCAAACACACCTCCAAGGCGACCACTGCCTTGCTAAAGAATTGTGGCTTAGGCTGGCCACAATAAAAGGGCACTCGAAAATGTGCAGTTCCATCACACAGCACAGTGCCACAGATGTAGCAAGTTTTCAGTGAGTGTGCTATTGGCATGCTGACTGCAGGGATGTCCACCAGAGCTGTTCCCTGTAAATTGAATGTTAATTTCTCTAGCATAAGCCATCTCCAAAGGCGTTTCAGAGAATTTGGCAGTACATCCAACTGGCCTCACAACCGCAGACCATGTGCAACCACGTGCATCTTCACCTCCAAGATCGTCTGAGACCAGCCACCCAGACAGCTGCTGCTACAATCGGTTTGAATAACCAAAGAATTTCTGCACAATCTGTCAGGAACCGTCTCAGGGAAGCTCATCTGCATGCTCGTCGTCCTCATCGGGGTCTCGACCTGACTGCAGTTCATTGTTGTAACCGACTTCAGTGGGCAAATGCATACATTAGATGGCGTCTGGCACTTTGGAGAGGTTTTCTTTTCACTAATGAATCCCACTTTTTACTGTACAGAGCAGATGGCAGACAGCGTTGTGTGGGTGAACAGAGGATCGAGTGGCCAATGGTGGCGGTGGGGTTATGGTAGGCAGGCGTGTGTTATGGACAACAAACACAGGTGCATTTTATTTATGCCATTTTGAATGCACAGAGATACCGTGACGAGATCCTGAGGCCCATTGTTGTGCCATTCATTGACCATCACCTCATGTTGCAGCATAATAATGCACAGCCACGTGTTGCAAGGATCTGTACACAATTCCTGGAAGCTGAAAACATCCCAGTTCTTGTATGGCCAGCATACTCATCGCACATGACACCCATTGAGCATATTTGGTATGCTCTGGATCGGCATATATGACAGCGTGTTCCAGGTTCTGGCTAATATCCAGCACCGCACAGTCATTGAAGAGGAGTGGACCAACTTTCCACAGGCCACAATCAACAACCTGATCAACTCTGTGAAGGAGATGTGTTGCACTGTGTGAGGCAAATGGTTCTCATACCAGATAGTGACTGGTTTCCGGACCCCCCAATACAGTGAAACTGCACATTTTCGAGTGCCCTTTTATTGTGGCCAGCCTAAAGCTGATGATACACAGAGCAACTTCTGGAGCAGGGGTTCTTATTCTTCTTATTACCGCCACCTACTGGATTAAACAGTGCAAAATATTCACAGTGCTCGCCCAACGTGATTCCATTCACAACTATAGTCCGTCTAGTTATTTGTTAAGGTTTATTTTCTATTTTTGTGTCATTAGTAGCATTCTCGCGACCCCCACGGGACCAGGTTCACGACCCCCAGTGGTGTCCCGACCCCCAAGTTAAGAACCACTGTTTTAGAGCAATGTTGTTGGACAATGTTGCCGTCAGTGGTAATGAGTAAAGATTACTACTGCTATACCCCCCCCCCCCCCCCCACTGCCCCGCCGCTATCCGTTCAAAACATAGTCAGACTTGCCACCAGCAAGATTGCCCAGCAACATTGCTCAAAAAGTTGCCACTACATGCTTACACACACACACACACACACCCTAATCATCCAGAGTCTCTTCTGCATTTCAGATCCTCCGATGCTGCACCATATCAGGGTTACCATGGCGATGACTGCATGACCCATGGCTGGTGGCCTTGCAGCTCTTACTGTCCCCACCTGCTCACCCCATCCAAATCGAAACCAGCCAATTTCAGGCTCAGCAATGAGTTTTAGACTGTTCCCATTACTGGGCTGTGTATAAATGCATTATCTCTGTATTATAACACTTTGTTTTTGTATGTAAAGCTATGTAAAGCAAAATGCATTAGTCTCACCAATATTTGTTAAGAGTTATCCTTTAATCCAATGAGAGGAACACTAGCAGTGATATTGCCATATGAACCTTTGTTACTCTTCCAGTCTTGTACAAGTCTTGTAAAGGCCCCCTGGGTCCCTAAGGCTGGGTTTTTCAAATCCCAAGTGTACACATGCCCCTTTATATTAAACAAGGTAGAGTTTTTTTTACCATATCTTGTTAACCCAATTGTTATATGTTGCTTTTTTTTTAAACATCAGGACTTATGTAACTGAAATTCTTGTGTGTCAGAATATTATGGCCAATAAAGTTATTGCTGCCCAAATATCAAAACTTCTCCATGGCCATAATAACCTGCTAATCACATTTAAAGAACTGTGTTTTTAGAAAGCATGTTTGGAATAATGGACTTGAATTCTGCAGCGTTTGGAGCAGTTTACTAGTTTGGCTTGTTAGGCAAGGTGAAAAAAGTATAATTCAATCTATTGTAGCACCACTAACGACACAGTTGGCACAGGTACCAGTTGTGATGAGCCATGTTGTCAGAACATTAAACAAGGATGACGGACCATGAGCAAACAGGGTTATCACACAAAGAATAACTTACTAAGTTTCAAAAGGCTAACTGAATGAGTCTGTGTAACTGTAAAGCCATGATATACTTGAAACTAATTATTGTAATTTTTAGAAAGTGTGTCAGTCCAAGTCCAAAGGTTTATGCCTTTTCTGAATGAACACACTCAAAGGCATTGTGAAAAGGCTGCAGTCAGAGAGGGCTATGATTTGATAATGATTTAAATTTGGCATAATTGCACATTTTCAGACAGTCTCCTTGAAATCATTCACAATGTTGGACTCAATTGTACTCATGAAAGAAGACAGAGGTACTTGTGTGAAGAATGAAAAGATCTTGAGAGAAGTTCAAACACCTGGCCAATTATACAGTGTCAAGGGAGTGTGTTTGTGTGGTTGTCTGTTTCTGAGAGAAACAAAAATTGTCAAGTGCAGAGCCCACCCTGTGCTGTTGTTGGAAAAGTGTGGTTTGAGGGGTCAGATGCTGGTTGACTATTCAACTTGGTGTGAAGCATACTGAGGCATTTGGATAAAAAAGGTCAGTTTTCTACATAACATATGGTTGTCATACCTACGGACTTATCAAATCAATACATTCCTACAATAAGGTAGCACATTTTTGAGTGATGATGGCACAGACTGGCATTTGTGGGCAATACTGTATATTTATGTTTTTTTGGGAACATTGCTGTCAGCTTGCCTATTGAACCAAACTAGGAGTCTGAATACACTGCTCTAGACATGTTTGTCTATAAACTACTACTATAAATATTCTGCCAAGTTTCCAGAATTCAAGATTTGAACTTGAAAGATTTTTGCAAGATGATATAGAAATAAAAAATATCACTGACTATGTTGTCATATCTCAGATTGTCCCTGTAGCCTTTGAGCAAATCATTGCTTTGTTGCTCTTAACTGCTTGAGTTATGGGGAGCACATTTCTAAATGCCGGTGTTAATACTATAAACAAAAGCATCATGTTCGGACATTGTTGTGATTTCCACATGAATGAAAGATATGTCTGTTTGGGAGGATAACGCATCTGAAATGTAATTGGATGTTTATTCTGTGAAGACTCATTCTGAGGAAGACTGAAGTTGGACAAAATGAAAACAAAAAAATTTGTGCAGTTTTTATCCATCCGTTTCTACTGCTCTTTTCATTTGTATGTGTAGATGTGAAACTAGCATAGTGTAAAGAAATAGTAAAAGTGATGTAGCCTGTGTTAAGAAGGTGCGAATTGTGGATATACAGTCCCCTCCAAAAGTATTGGAACTGTAAGGCAAATCCCTTTGTTTTTGTTGTTCACCGAAGACATTTGGGTTTAAGATCAAAAGAGACAAGAGTTCAGAATTTCAGCTCTCATTTCCTGGTATTCACATCTAGGTGTGTTAAACAACTCAGGACATACCTCCCTTTGTTTGAACCCACCCATTTTTCAAGTGAGCAAAACTATTGGAACATGTGACTGCCAGATGTTTCTTGTTGCCCAGATGTTGCCTTTTAGGTTGATTGTCCAAACATTAAACAGCTCTGCATGACTAGTCTAAGTTTTCATCCTTGGTTCAAACCTATAGACTGCATTTCCTGTGAGGATAAACCAGCATGAAGACCAGAGAGCTGTCTATGGGAGAAAAGCAAGCCACTGTCAAGCTGAGAAAAGAAGGAAAATCGACCAGAGCCGTTGGACAAACATTGGGCAGAGCAAGCACAACAATTTGGAATGTCCTGAAAAAGAAAGAAACTACTGGTGTACTGAGCAACAGACGTCCAACAGGTCGTCCAAGGAAAACAACAGTAGTTGATGACAGAAATATGGTGAGAGCTGTGAAGAAAACCCCTCCCAAAATATCAGGAAGTGACATCAGCAGCGACCTCCACAGTGCAGGGTGAAGGTATCACAATCCACTGTTGGAAGAAGACTCAGAGAGCAGAAATATAGAGGCCACACCACAAGATGCAAACCACTCATCAGCAGCAAGAATCGGAAGGCCAGACTGAAATTTGCAAAGAAGTGATGAGCTGCAAAAGGTCTGCAACACAATCTGATGGACTGATGAGACCAAGATTAATCTCTAGCAAAGTGATGGAAAGGCCAAAGTGTGGAGAAAGAAAGGAACTGCTGATGATCCGAAGCAAACAAGCTCATCTGTGAAGCATGCTGGAGGTAATGTCGTGGCTGCTTCTGGAACAGGCTCATTAATATTTATTGATGATGGAACTGATGATGGTCGCAGCAGAATGAATTCAGAAGTGGACAGAAACATTTTGTCTGCCAGTTTACAGAGAAATGCATTGAAACTAATGTGGAGGAAGTTTATCATGCAGCAGCACAATGAGCCAAAGCACACTGGCAACAAAACAAAGGACTTCATCAGGGGGAAAGTGGAAGGTTTCAGAATGGCCAAGTCAATCAGCTGACCTTAACCCAACAGAGCTGCATTTCACCTCCTTAAGAGGAGACTGAAGGGAGAAACACCCCGAAACAAACAAGAAGTGAAAGAAGCTGCGGTAAAAGCCTGGAATAGCATCACAAATGAAGAATGCAACAGTTTGGTGATGTCGATGGGTCGCAGGCTTCAGGCAGTTATTGCAAGCAAATATTAAATGTTATTTGCTTTAAGATTATTTGTTCCATTACTTTTGCTCACCTAAGAATGCTGTGGTCTAATACAAACGGTGGCATGTCCTGAGTTGTAGGTACCAGGAAATAAAAGCTGAAATTCTGAACTCTTGTATCATACTCATCTTTTGATCTTAAACCCAAATGTCTTCAGTGAACAACAAAAACAAAGACATTTGCCATACTGTTCCAAAACTTTTGGAGGGGACTGTATGTTTACAATGGAAGGATTCAAAGAGAACTGCCTGGTTTTAAACTCAGCACAAATTAGATGAATAAAATTTTGTAATGGAAATTTTCCTTTAGTGGAACTTCTGAAATAAAGTATTAAATCCAGACATCTTTAAGGGTTTTATTCTTTACAAAGGGTCAGATAAACATACAGAGTGTAACCAGTCTGCAGAATATAAGACCAAGAGCCAGTGAAGAAAGAGGTGACTTTATACTCTATAGTATTACGCAGCTGTCTTAGGGAGGAAGAGAGTATGAACCAACTGCCCTAAGATGAAGGCCTATCAAGGACAGTCAGAAACCCGCTAACGAGCTACTTTCCCATGGGAACCTTCACCTAGCTGCAACATAATGAAATTATCAAACACCACACAGTGAAACATAGGCCTATAATAGTGCAGCATAAAAGGTAAAATAGTGAACAATGGACATTTTCACTAAGAGGTGTACTCACTTTTGCTGACAGTGGTAAGACATTAATGGCTAAGTGATGTTATACAAGCTGTACACTCAATACTTTATACTTTATAGCAAAATGTCATTTCTTCAGTGTTACATGAGAAGATATAATCAAATATTTACAAAAATGTGAGGAGTCTACTCACTTTTGTGAGATACTATACATTTGCATTTCTTGTGATCTCAGGAAGAGCTTAGGACTGTATGCTAAATGCCAGACGGAATCAGCATTTGTTTGAAATCACCATCTGCTGTTCGTTTTGTTTTTGAGAGAATATAAGGGGAGAGATTCTGAATGGCGGGAGAGAACTGTATCTTCCTCTCCATGCTGCATGTGTAAAGACTCGATTCATCACATCTTTGAATCCATACTTTAGGAAGAAATTTTCTTTCACATGTGAAACCTTTCATAAAGCAGTGTCTTGCTTCAATATTTCATTAGTGATACAGTTACAGTTTTGCAGCATCAGCTGTAGGAATGCTAAATAAAAAGGAAGAATATCAGTTAGTGTTAGATATTAGGCTCTGGCCGCTACTCCTGTTTAGGAGAGGGAAAACACTTCAACAATGTCAACAATAACGAGACAGTATTTCATGATGTAAGTTCAATCCATCGTAAGATCAGGTCACTCATTTCACTGTAGGGGAACCAAATTATTGCATGAGATTTCAATTTGAACTGTAGTTGTTTTGTTCATTCTGGGTGATACTGTAAAATCGGTCTCACCTTCTCTGAATGAGTTTCAACCTTGAGCCTCCAGGCTGTCTGATAACACACCTCACACACAGAGTTGCCATTTACATTACATTACATGCAACTTAGTTTTGCAATCAGTTCCTCCTTTTTCACTGTGGAGGAGCGCATGGGCAAAACTCTGGACCATGTTTTAAAAAGGGGTTTAAACAAAATCAAACAACATGGAATGAGCAGGCAGCTTCATTCTTTTCCTGTGGAAATGGGGTCAATCTGTTAGCGTGCTTCACATTTTATCATCAATATGGCAATAGCCCACAAAGGAACATCCAGTTTAACATAAAAGCAACAGAAACAGCATGCAACATGACAATAAGCACCAGGCATCTGGTTTGCTTCCAAGATGTAGTGTCAGAACGTAGTGTCAGAGTGTCCTTTGGTCAGCAGCAAAGTAATAACGTAGGTCATGTCTTTGTAGTATAGAGAGCCATTTCAGTCAGTGAGGCTCTGTCACCTCAGCTTTATCAGTTCAAGTCAGTCAAGTGCACTGTTATTTTACCATGAATCATGGGAGAGATTTATCTCTCTATTCATCCTTTTTTAGAAATGGAATCCCTTGTCCATAAAATCAGCATCACCTTCTTTATGGTGAATGGTTTTGGAATAGATAAAAAGGCTTGTTACAATTGGGAGAGAGGGAGATTTACTCCCATTGTGATCACATTCCCAGGTAAGTTATTTTGTCTCTGAATCGTAATTGGAGAAAGACTAGCTTAGTCATTGTTGTGGGCTAACCGCTTTTAGCATCACAATGATCATTTTCTGCTCTTTTCAATAGACTGCAGAACAGAACTGAGCAGCCGCTCGGGAAATGTAAAATTGAAAACAGACCTTTGCCAAATCATCAACAGAGAATGTGTAGTCTGTGATGTAATCAATAATGAGAAATTTTGAAACCTGTAGTGCTCGCGGGTGCACTAATGCATTTACTGCATTTACTACTCTGTCGCTCTGTTGGTCAACCTTCACAGTTTCTTCCTACTGGAATATCTGGGTGCGTATAGGTGACTCCAGCTTGTAGCAGTGAATCAAGAGAAAACATGTTTAATACTTCCAAGCACTTGTTTAGTAGATATTAGTTCACACATCATATCATCAAAATGAATCAAATCAAATCTTGTGTTAACTATAGTTATAAACTCTCATTCAGTTTGCAGCTCGGACATGAGGTCACAATTTAATGTTTTAACAATGGTGTGTAACAAGATGTTACAGGAACTACTTCAACGGTTCTTTTAACCAGAGCAGTATTTTTGCTCTTTGCTGTACAGTGTTCTCAGATTCCAACTCACAGGCCTGTTGTCAGTCAGCCAACTCCGGGTGGACTTCCATATCCAAATCCCTCCATTTCCAAATGTCTTGGCTTCGCTTCACCATGTGTAATATGTTGCAATAAATTCAAAAATAATAAAACTATCTCTCTCTCTTTTTACTGTCCCTATTCCATAAATTATACATATTTTGCATTCTGTTCTTCAAAACTGTGTACTGTAAAGTGTAGTGAGTCTACCTGCATGTAGTCAAAAGTCTGTATGTATGTATGTATGCATGTATGTGTGTGTGTGTGTGTGTGTGTGTGTGTGTGTGTGTCCATCCTCGCTAGCAGCGGTGTGTGTGTAGGCCATAGGTCACTCATTCAGTGCTTGAAATAAGAGTTTAATAACTATGCCATCAAAATTCATCAACATGACACCGTATATATGCCAATGTAGCAACAATGTCACCTGCTATGTTTAAATTTACTTAGTTACTTTAGCATTTCCTATATTCTTTGTGGTCATCAT